GACTCACTCTTGTTAATTTCTGCCCCAGCATCTTCACGCCCTCCATGTCCTGTAGGCCCAACTCAGCGCGCATCAGCTTCAGCTTGCCAGACTGTGTGCTCGAATCCATGCCTTGAATAAGCCTCATTCGGAACCCCTCCATCAGATCATTCTTCAGGGTTGGGTAGGTATCGAACAAGAGCTCCAGACCCTTGATGCTGACCTCCCACAGATGGCAGGACTTTCGAGCACGTAGTGTTACAGGTCGGACACTGCATCCCACACGCAAAGGCCATGGCCGTTCACCTTTGGCTCAGTCTTGACTGCACTGTTGTTTGCAACGCTTTGTGCGCTAGCAAATGTTCGCTCGTGGTCTGGCATCAAACGCCTGGTAATGAATATCGGGGTTGCAGCCAATAGGTCCCACTGGTGGGTGTGTTGATTGCCAAACTCACTTGTGCCGCTCACCATTTTGTGCAGGGGTTCAAGGGAGGGCGGGGAGGCATGATCATGAAGGCAGTGCTGTGTGCAGAGGTGGGAATGCAATGGCAGCTTTCTTCGCACTGCTGCTTCAAGTGAGCGATGCATTCTAAACAGCAGGCACCAAGAGTGCATTTTATTGGCCCCACCAGGCTACATGCTGAGTTGCCATTTTGCGAGTACCACAGTAGCGGCCTGAATTGGTGCTTGTCATAAAATGTGCCCAGGGGAAGCACAAGTTACAAGGGATGGAGCACATTGGGGCATTATGGGCAATGCTCAACAAAGCTCCAGTGCAATCATAGAAAGCAAGAAGGGAGCAAAGAGTAAACGCAATGTCATTACGATTACATCCAAACTGCTATGTTTACTCAGCACAGCCACCCAATATTCCTTCAGTTCCCGTCAGTGAAAGATGACTGGAGCCAGTGAAAAATGCTAAGAGACATACAGACATACTTTCCATGCACATTTGTCAGAGCCTTATCCAGGCACCCGCTCCTGTCAGTCTGACCATCGGCCCTGATGGTGGTGCAAACATCACCCAAAGTTTCCTGCAGCAACTATGAACACTGCAGCTGGCCTGGCAAACACTTTGCATTCCATCGTCCAGGCACTCGACCAACCTCTCGCAGTTATGGCACCTCCTGACTGCACTGTGTACTGTCCTGCTGCACTCCAACTTGCACAATGTCTCTCACAGACGGATATGAGTCGCCCAAACAAGTTTGCATTTTGGGTTGGGGTTGGGGTACACTTGTACAAAATGATCTTTTGGTTGTAGAATCCCTCACTTCTCATGCCCTATTTTGTTGTGTCATCTCCCACCATGTTGCATCCTGACAACTGTTTCTTTTTAGTTTTGTGGCCCACCTGAACTCTGGCACCTCCTTTGCCAGAACGGCAGCTTCGCCACAAGTTGTTGGACCTTGTAGTCGCCCCACTTCTTCATCGTTGACCAGGATCACCATCGTTCCTTCCTGCCAACATCACCAAACGCTCATGAGTGCATTGATGGAGCATTCTAAAGTGATGCCATTGTTTGCGGCACTGCAGTACTGCAGTACTGCAGTGACAGAAATTTGCCTGCAAGGGGCTTCAACAGAGCCCAAAAACAGATTATAAAACTGCAGCTGCCAGCTGCCAAAATTTGGCTTCACCGCAGCAGTGGCGTTAACCAAAATAGACGTACCAACTCTTACTGTGTGTCAACAACAAGTCACGAACGCTGTCTGCATGCACGCTGCACTTGTCACAGAGTCCTTCCATCAATTTATGTAACAATCTGGAACACATAGGAGCAGAAATCTAACAGTGCTTGTTTGTATCACCAACAGCATCCACCAGTCCAACTGTGGCATTCCCCATTGTCTATCAGTCATTGCTTTCCACTGGAATCCTGTTGCTTTCTCACGATCTGCATTCGAACTCACCCGGATGCACCTGAGTCTCCACTGAATTCAGTAGAGACATGTGACAAGACCATTGTGTCTATTTTCACAAAGCCTCTCGAGATACAATCAATAGTTCAGCAGTCTTCTGTTTCAACACCAAGTACTGCATCGCTTTGGAATAAACAGCGATGTCAAACAGTCCCAGCAGTGCTCACAGCGCATGCGAGCCCAAAGCACGGCGGTTCACCTCCAGTATGAAGAGCGACTCCGCCGGATCCCCTTGATAGAAAATCTCGTGCCCTGGCGCAACAGATGCGGGCTTCATGTGCCCGCAAATGCGGCGGTGCGAATCTTCATCCAGGTCGCGAAACACCCTGAGGTCTTGCAACAGGTGCTTGGTCATGTGGTACACCGTGTCAATCCTCACGGCGTGCGGCAGCTCGTCAATGAACTCAGCTTCGTTGTCATCATTCTGCCTTATCCACACCTCGGCATAGTATGCCTGCGTGCGCCGGGGGCCCAAGGCCATCAGGCACCCCAAAGTACAACAACTTGATGCGTTGCTGATTAATGGTGCACGTTCTTCAAAGCGAGGCTGCACATGTGACAGCGGTCCACCTTCTGGGGATGAGATGCGTATCTACAGCAGTGCCGTCTTTCTGAATCCAAAACAAAATACCCAGCAGTGGTATTCTGGTGGTGGGACCTTCACACAAGTTCAGAGGTTGAAATTCTCAGTGGGCTGCAAACTGGAAAGATTGAATGTTTAGCGAGGCAAGGCACTGTCATGGGCTCCTGTCGACTTACAAAGATTTTCTTCTGCATGTCATGAGGCACTCCTCTCCTCTTCAGCCACCCCGTCACAGTATCTATCTTGTTTCGAAACACCTCTGAATTTCGAGCATTCTTTGTGGCAGACTTCATGAGCTCAGAAATGGAGCCAATCACAAGACCGAACAGCATGATGTTGACCACCATGAGCATCATGACCACACCCTCCTCGGCAGCCGTCCGGGGGGTTATATCACCATACCCCACGGTTGTCATCTGGAAAGAAACACATGCAGTTCTCATTTTCATTGGTTCTTTTTCTTTATCTTGGGGTGCAATCGCTTCACCCCTCATTTGTCAAATGGACAAGAAAATGAACAGGTCTTGTGGGTTGCTTGCATTGGGCAACATCGTTCAACAGCACAAGCAGTGTGACCAGCAAAGGCACAGGTGCAACGGTTGGGCCATATCAAGCACCTGACGACTACAGTTCATGAAATGCTACCAAGCGCACAGAACAGAATGAACACAAGCGTGGAGCTGGCACTGCATCTCACTGCAAGGGACTCAACAACACCTCAGCAAAGGAATGCAGAATGGATATCGACCCCAAAACAAGTACGTTGTGCGATCTACAAGGAGACAACAGAAGCCTGCAAGCTTTAGCAGGGGCTGTCCATGTATTGTAGTGTATTGCTTCAGAAACAACAACAGAGATCGCTTTTGGCAGGACTGAAACGTCAGACTTCACTAATTAGAATTCTGGCACTCCTGGTCTTGTGGGCAGGTCTATCAGAGGGTTGCATCGCCTTGCAAATTCTTGCCAGGTGGCCAAATGCCCGTATTTCTTATCAGGCCAGGGCACCGCCACATCTCTCAAACATGATGCTTTGGGAACTGCAAAAAAGCAACTACTGCAGCTTAAATGCTCTGATCATTCCACTGACACTTACTGTGGTGATCGCCCAATACACGCTGGCCAAGTACTGCCTCGGCTTACTGCTCTCTTCAACATAGTTCTCAGTCACGCAGCCTTCGTCGCCCACTTCACACACGATGGACCCGCCCTTGGAGATCCAGCTTCCGTCCAGCCCCTCGAGCACAGCCGTTAAGTAGAGGAGGCATGCCATGAAGTTCGTCAGTACTGCACCCGTGTACAGCACGTTCACGAGGTACAGGCCGGAGGCATTCAGCTTCCGCCTGATCTTGTTGAGAATGGGGTCTTTGAGACTGCCAGCGAAGGCACCAGTGTACATCCTCTGTGCACACAGACCTTAACTCATTATCTACCACATAGTATTGTTTTAGTGTTTATTTACATTTTATCTGCTCGTTTACTCATTTATACTCCAATACTCACACATTTGTTTGTTGGCTCTCTTACTGCACAGGCACTGCACAGATATGGAAAAACAGACATGCAGCTATCAGGCAGGCCACTGGCAGTTTCCCCTGCATAGTTTGGTGGTCATGCACAAGCCTTATTGTGTACTACCATGAAGTAACATGCTGTGAATAAAGAAAGCAGGCAAGTGGCAGCATTCGAATCTGTCTTTACAACGGCCGGAGCTACACACACAGTCACTGCCCGAATTCATGGTAACTACAGTTCTGGCTGACCCTATCACCTGGGCTGAATTCCCAATGTGTTCCTTGCAAAGGGGAGCAAGCTATCTGGCCCAAGCGATCCATCAAGAGGCTGGATAAATTTGATTGAGACTGTGCAAAGTACTGGGCAATGTGAACGTCAGACCACCAATCCGCACCGCACTAAATGAGCTGGACTTTACGATATGTTCAGGCCATCATCCTGTGGACTTGAACTGATCATTGAACACAGCATCAGAATTTCTACAGAAGCAATATAGTGTGCAATATTGCATTCAGGATTGCTGTGCATCAGCTGTCATGCCTGCCATCGCCTTGCAGGCGCAAGGCCAGTGCATGGTCACTCTCAGAATATGCAATCAATTGTTTTGTAGAAGTGGCAGTGTGGTAGTGTCGTGTTGTGTACGGGCACGGTAGTATTGGAAATAGAGATTATGCGCACCTTCAGGAGGCGAAGCAGCCTAACGTATCTGAGGAGACGAAACACCACCAGAAAACTCTCCCTCTTGCTTTGCAGTGACAAGTACACGATCTGCAAAGGATGGAAACGCATGTTGTCAGCGCACATGCTACAAAGCCAGATCTATATACTAATCCAGACAATGCACGGGATGGACAGCTGAGCTCCAACACGTGCACATGCCTGATACATTCTTGACAACTGCATAACCACAAGTGCTAGTTCAAAGAGAATGAGCAGCTAATAATGCGAACAGTTTTTAGAACTACATCAAAGCATCAACCCCCAAACTACCCCATTGAACCCAGCGAGCCTCGGAAAGCAATGCATCAACTCTTGATGCTTTTCCATGTGATACTATCAAAGACTGACAGAACCAAATTCCTTTACTGCATGCAAAAAAATTCGCACCATGCAGCTTTCATGCAAGTGTTGTAGTTTTGGGTTTAATGTTAATTCCCTTCGACACAACAAGATTCTCATAAGACCAGCATGTGTATAGCTCACAGACTGCCACAGGCACGACAGTGGCATACCTCAGGGAGCAGCGGGAACACTGCGATCGCATCAATGAGCGCGCCCCCATGCATCCAATAGTACCATTTCACCGATTGGCCATCCATGACCACCTTCTTCTTGTAGTCATGAACGACCATGAAGCCAACGTGGAAATTCATCAGGAAGTCAAACAAGAGGAAGAGGCCTGCGACAAAGGAGCATTGCAACATCTGGGCTCAGCTTCACAGCTCTCTGAGCACCTCCCAAGTTTTGGAGCAATGACCAGCCCACCGTCACAAAACAATGGACAAAAACACATTGCATAACCAGAATGGTTTTTGGCCATTACGTTGTCATGTACATGCACACATGGATGGATCGCGGCATCTCCTTTGCTCATTGGCTCAAAAAGGAACAATCTTTGGCACTGCATCGACAATGAAAGTCTGCATGCATTTGGTCAGATGAAACCCTGCAAGCTATGTCTATAATGCCACACACAAGAACAAACATGAACAAATAGTGCATGCCAATGCCATGACAGCGTGCATGCGCACACCGCGATGTGCACTGAGGTGGGAGAATAGGCAATGTGTAGGAGCGACCCCCCAGAACGGGAGGGGCTGGGCCCTTGCCACTTTGCGGCACGATGGGGACAGAGTGACGACAGGAGTGAAACCAAAATTGGGTGACAGGGGCGTCGACAGGCGTTCTGGGGGCCGGGAGCAGTTTCTTGTGGAGTGCACGACTTTGTCAGCGCAATGCACACACTGCTCCATGAAGCACAAAAGCTGGTGTGCTGAGTACACTCAGTGCACATAGTATTTCATGCCACAAAAGCACCCACCGGCCACTATCTCAACAATGCTGGCCCAGGCTGTGAAGTCATCATCATCTCCATCGTACACAAAGGCGGTGATGATGGGCAACAGAAATGCAACATACGTCATGTCCAGAATGTGAATGCACAGAGACCAAATTCCTGCCCTGGTGCTATAGGGGCTCAGTACCTCCAGCCCGAATATCGATCGGTGCCTGGGGAGCACAACAGAAAACAATCTGTCTGAATGGTGAATACTAGAATACACATGAGCTGATCTGGGTACAGCATTTGTAGGTCATGTTGAAGCGGTGCAGAGCCCCGCACTTTTAGGATGCACTGAACTGTACAGATGTTCCTCATATTCCGTGCAAAGCAACACAAAGCAAAGCCATGTGTTGCATCACTGGCACACAAATGTCTCAAGCAGAACAGTTTGTGCACTGGAATGTCCAGGACCCCAATTTCCAGCTGCAAGACTTACAAAACAATCGGGCAGTCAATTGATGAGCACTACTGGCATCTTTTGGAGAGACCATCCCATTTCTAGGCACTTGAAACATTGGCAGCACAGCGCAGTGTGTCTGCAGATTCAAACACACCAATAAATCTCTGTTTCATTGCATATGATAGTCACAGTTGCAACTCCCATCCTAACAGAAGAGATGCAGGCCTTCCGGCACCTTACACAACCAACTGCAAGGCCAAGCAAAGCTTGCAAGATTAATCGAAACACATACTTTGGTTGCGTGGACAAGTCACCAAACACATGTTCGCCCTCATCTGCTGGCTGCAAGAATGCTGTGAACAGCCCACTGCTCCTGCGGCCTCTGGACTTTCGCAGGAAGTGATCCCAGGTCTTGCGATCGACATCTACACTGCGGGCGACATAGCTGTTTCGGGGTTCGCCACCTGCCACAGCATTTAGTGCAATAACCCTTCACACCATACATTGGCCCAAACATGGCAAAATATTGCCATAACCATGCAGAAACTGGAATGACATCCACAAGTGGCAGTTTGGGAGACCTTCTGAACATCTGAACTGAACGTCAGCGTTTATGTCATCTGTTCTGCACAGGCTGGGTGTGGGTGTGCATGTGTGCATCTGTAGGAGTCTTAAGCACATCAACATATTGTGATTGAACCAACATTTGATCAACAATTGAATTAATAATCATACGCTGGTGGGAGCGAAGAAAGCGCGCGTTATGCTGGTACTTCGTTTCTCTCTCTCTCCGGAGATGCCGCCTGCAGCGCGGGAATCAAAGCTGACAGGGCTCTGGAAAAGGTGACGAAATCCTAAACAGCTTGTCAAGCTCCAGCCTCGTGCTTTGCCCTGTGCCTGCCTACCCAGCTGTGTTATGCCCTATTTACATCGACAAATTTGATCTCAAAAACTGCTTTGTGCCCGTTGTGGTTTGTCTTTGTTTGGTCACAACTTGGCACAAATTTCCCACTTCCTTGATTGGACGGGACGATGTGTGAAAACACGCATCAATTCTGCATCTCAGTACTTCAAGTCCGCTGCCCACAGATTGGCTGAAGCCTGCACTGCGTTTCTATCATCTGTGCGGTGCACTATGGACTCATCAAGCAAAGACCACAGAACGCTCGTTCTTGGCTGGCTTTGACTTCCACCCATACCATTGCCACCATTCAAGCCACCCAATATCCTCACATCCCCAGAACGCAACTGACCAGCACCGCAATGCCCGTCCACCAACAGCTGGACACTCCGTCATCAATCACTCCACAGCCGACGGGCCAAACCAGCCTCGCTTTTTGCCGCCCCAACGGGCGCCACCGCGACGCCTCGCGCGCCGACCGACTCGCGCCCAACAGCGTTCAGAAAGCGCGTCCAAAGAGCCCTTTCCCCAAAATTTCGCGTGAGAAAACCGCCAGAAAGCCGCCCCGCAATTTTCACACGACGCTGCGCAGCGCCGCGGTGCCGCCCGGCCATTCTGCTGATGTACGATACCACACTACGGAGGCAATCATATTCACCCACCCGCCACATCCCGTTGGCCAATCTTCTCTGCACGACCGTGGTCAACCTAAAGACCGCAATGCGCGGGCCACACCCCTGCGCAGTCGCCCCCCATACTTTGATCGTGCCAACCTCGTGTGCAGCCCTCACACAAACAAACCCGTCTGCGCCATCACCCACCCACCCGCCCGCGGAACAAACCCCAACCCCCCAGAGACCCGCATACACTTTGCTTAGGAGAGGTTGCCCTTTGTACGGCCTGTGTCTCCTTCTCTTTGCGGCAAAAACCTCAACACTTGCCCAGAAAAGGGCGCTGTCTGCATGACCTGTTCCCCTTTCGGTTACAAATCTTACCCCACACCCCCAAAAACCCCAAACCCAAGGTCGCGCCATTCGCAGCCGGAAACACCGGCGAGGGCAAAGAGCAATCGCCACCAGCATCCAATTTTCCCAAGCTGTCCGTCCGCTCGTCCGTTTGTCCATCTGTCTGTGCCCGTCCGTCCGTCGCGCGACTCGATGAATCGCGTCACACCGGTCGAATCGGCGAACAGGGCCCGCTTGAAATGGTGACGGCGTGACAGAAAGGGGCCGCCCCCACCCGCTCCCCGCGGGAGCCGCGCGGCCCCCGGGGCCCCACACCGGCGGCCACGGAGGCCAGGCAACTCAACAATCCCAAATGTTTTCATTTCAAACTTTCGCGACGACAAACTCGCATTGTTTGCTTCCCTACGCTCCCATCGCTGCCGAAGCAGCCGCTCAAAGACGAGGAGGGGGCCATCCCGCGGCGGCTCGCGGGTCGCGCCCGCGGCGCGGGCGCCGGGCAACCCAACAACCTCCCCAGTTTTCACTCATCACTTCGCGGCCACAAAACCGCACTGCTCCCTCATGCTCCCCACTCCAGTCAGAACCAACTGCTGGAGAGCCCAGACATCGACTCTCCGGCTCGCGACTGCGCGTGCGCCAGAGTCGACGCCAGCGACGGCGCCAGCCCGCAGTCCTCATCCCTTCGCCGCCACCAACTCGCATGTTCTGCGCCCCCATGCGCCCAATCTTCACCAAACGCGCCGCTCAAGAGCTGCAAAACTAACTTTCCTGCTCAAGAGGTCGCGCGTTCAAAATTCGACACCAGCGAGCACGGCGGCGACGGACACCCTCCTCCACCGCGTGTGTCAACCCTTCGCCGCCGCAGAATCTCATTTTCCGCTCCCCACGCTCCCAATCTCCTCCAGATCCGCCGCTCAAGAGTCGAAAAGCTGACTTTCCGGCTCAGGAGGCCGCGCGTTCAAGAGTCGACACAAGCGAGCACGACGGCGACATTACCTTGGAACTCGAACGGCCTTCCTTCGCCAGGTCTGCCCCCGTAGCCGTCGCCCGGCGACAGGCCATTGGGATTGTCCACCAGGCTGTCCTCGGCGCTGTCCCCGCCGTTCTCGCGCTCGAAGCGCACGCCTTCTTTCCCCATTTTGGCGGAGGCCGGTTTTGCGAATGTGCAGGAGGTGGTGCAATTCGGGCAGTGGCCTTTAGGACTGGGGTTGGCCGTACATTATGCCTCTCCCCGATTGGCGCCGAGACAACAGCCCGTCGGAGTTGTAGACTGTGACGGAAGATTGGTGCGGTGTGTTTTAATTGACGACATTGGGGCGCCGTGGCGTTCTTGGCACGTTTAGAATGATGTAAATTGCCGAAGAGGCCACAGAAGCTGATTAGTTTGGGACGAGGGTGCGCTGAGTGCCAGAGGCACAGAGCTCGCTGCAAAATGCACTGCGCTGGTGCCGTTGTTTGCGCGCCCGGTACCAATACTCTGCGACCCGAACCAATAACCTAACCACCAGAAAGGGACCTAAAGTTCGGCAAAAAGACACGGCAACATTCATGCCCAAAAGCCTAAAATCCGACGGCGGTCAACACTAATAGGTTTAGGTCGCTGCCGGCCGCCCGTGGACAGAGGGCAGCCACTTGATCATCCGTTGTTTTCTTTGGAGATCATTGTCTTTGCAGCAGCTGATGTACCCTGAACCGCAAAAGAAAGGAAGGAAACAAAGTCAAAGTACTGAAATGAACAATGTACAGACAAGGGAATGCTAAGACTGGGAAGCCAGCGAAGGTTTGGCCAGCCCAGCACCCACCATGGAGCGCCAAGCGGCTCAGCCCTCCGCCGCCTCCGCGCGACTGCGGGCCCTCTCGGGCAGTGCAGGGAGCACCAGACCGCCGGCGCCGCCCATCCGCTGCGGGAGGATGACTAAACCCGGATTCACCGAGCGGAAGGCGCTCCAGCGGTGCTGCGTGGGTGTGTGCAGGGTTTGCAGAGGGATTGGGCATGGCCGCGGGCTGCCCATTTTTGTCCCCAACTTTGGATAAAGAACGTGCAACGCCTCCGCGCTGGGGCGTGAGGGATGCAAGGCCGGGGCTAAGGCGGCGTGGGTGGGCCGATAGGACGAGAACGCCCGGCTGTGGGGAGGCAGTGCGTGGCGAATTAGTGGGCATGCGGTCCGTTCAGTCGCCGATCATTCAAGGGCAATTCACGCCACTGGCGCGACGTGGTCGCTGGAACGACGGCCCAAACCTGCAGCCGGTAGAAACCCAGGCCCGCAAACTGCAAACTCCGATTTTCCACGAGAAGAGGTTAGCGAAAGGAAGGGTGCAGAGACGAGAAGAGAGAGTTTTCGTCTCTCCCTGCAGTCTTTTCCTTCTTACCTAGTCCCATTGTTTCCTTTTCGGAGAGCTGCGTGGCCAGTCCCATTGTTTCCTTTTCGGAAAGCTGCGTGGCCATCCGGTACGCCTGCAATCAATCATTGCCTGAACAAAGAGCGGAGTTTGGGAAGAAGAAAACAGAATGTAAAAGGAAAGTGGGGCCAAGGAAGCCCAGAGAATAAGAGATAAGGGATGATGAACAAGCCATAAAGGGTAAAAAGATGATATTAGCCGAGTACCATTACGCAGATTAGCTTAATACAATCCCTGAGGGAGGCGCCAGCTCCCTGTTAATCCCCTGGGAGAGGCCATCCCCTAAATGGGCCTTACAGCCTGTGGTGTGCACATGCAGCATCCTCAGCCAGCAATGGCGCGACTGGACACGCGGAGGGCCGTCAAGCCGTGCACTGCGACCTGAGCGCCTTTCCACAGTGCGAGTTCTTCCATGTGGAGGTTTGACTGTCACCGAGGTCTTTATTTATTTATCTTTATTATGCTTCAATCACACTTGAAAATGAAAGGGCGGCGATCATCGAATCCTGACGGAATTTTCATCGCCAAGCAGAAAGCGTATTAAGAGCATCTTTATTGCTCGGTGCTGTTGCACTGGCGGAGCTATCCAGGAACGGTCCTCATTGGCGCCGTGCCACCTTACTAAGGAGGCATTTGCCAAATAGCACTGGTGGTGTAGCTCCCCTGCGCGCATCGTCAATGGTGGGTGCTATTCCTACGCTGAATAGCGTCGCGGCAGCACTACAATGTTCAGCGCGAATAGCACCAGGTGCTATTTGGCCTCGAGCAGTGCTATTCGGGCCCAGAATAGCACCGCTCGGCACCAGATAGCATCGGCGTTGCTATTGGGGTGATATTGCTCCCCACCCGCTAATGATGGTTTTTTTTAAGTGCGGTGCTATTCAAATAGCCGAATAGCACCGCCGGGACAATAGCACCCACTGATAAAGATGCTCTAAGCAAACGTGGCAAATTCTTGCACCTCATCCATGGGACATCGTCAAGCAGGTGGTGCTGCATCCTGTACCTCAATTGAGGGCGAGGCTAATTGGTCATGGGGATCTTCTAATTGAAATGCTTCTGGATGCGGCAGGCCATTTTTCGGCCGTGGCGCCTGAATTCTGTTGTTTCACGCCTTGCGGAGGAAGGCATTCGCGGAATGACTGCCTGCAATGTTAGTGGGGTGGGAATGCAGGGAGGTGAGGGGAAGCTGACTCCTGCCAGTAGTGGCCACATGCTTGCGAAACTCCTGATTGCAGTGGTTGCTGATGCTGTTGAACTTGTACCAGGCACTTGCAGAGCGATGAAAGGGACAGCAGCCTATGCGCATATGTCCATGACTGTGATGAACTAGATGAAAGTTTTGTGGTCTAGTTTTTGTGGCAAGTACGTGTGAATGAATGCTGTATTTACCATTTTGTTTGGTGACAAGGAAAAGGTGAAAGGCAAAGTTGGCTGGGACCTGACGGCATAGTGCAGTGTGTGCATGTTTTTGAAATCCACTTTGCCGGGAACGATGTGTGGCTGCCTGTCTCTGCTGGGGAGCGCGTGGCCTGATGGGCTGGACATGAAGTGCACCAGCAAATACGGTACAATAATAATATAATAGTACCACTATAATACGATCACAACACAATAGTTTTTCCCAGAATGGACCAATCAAGCTGGCCTGACTGCAGCGATGTGGGGTCCAGCCTTGTTGGCCATACGATGTACACAGATGGGCATTTGTAGCATTGTAGCATTCAGGGGCAATCGACACATGTACTTCAAAATTCAATGTTATTCGAATAATGTACTTGCCCTATGGGACGCGAATGCTCTTTGTGGCGTATTGGGGATTTGCAAGCATGACACTTGGTGGGAGGGTTGGTCCTCAACATCAACACGTGCTTGTAGACTAGTGGTGGACCATTTGTCGGTCTTTTTTGTTGGCAACCGTAGACTTGCCAGACAGTTACTGGCAATGTTAGAATTATTAGAATTATTATACATAGATGAATTAGAATTAGAATTATTGTACATAGATGAGTCCTGTGTGTTTGTTGCTGCACCCCCGTGTAGTCCATTGGCCCGAACGAACAACGGAGAGGCTCGGTTTTTCGTTCACCCTCTTCGGTGCCTCGTCGTTGCAGCTGACGTCTCACAGCGAGGTGCACTGTTGTGCAGGTCTGCACGAGAGATATGCAGGCTCTGAGTTCGGCTTGGACGACTTGGTGGAGAAGGCGCAGCTGTCTGTTGTGTGCACAAGGTGCCAGTTTAGTAGTGCAGTGGTGTAGCAGTGTAGAAATGTGATGATATCGCATTGTAGCATAATTCTAGTGCAGCAGTTCATCACCCGAGTGGCTGGTTGGACACAGTTGGGGGCCACTAGTGCAGAGAAGAGTTGTTGAACCACTGGTCCAGTTTGATGAAACTGCACCACCGTTAAAGCAGGGGCAGGCATCCATTCGCTCCATCTTCATGGGCCTGGTCGACATCATGCAGTTTGTGCAATGGGAGCAGACAACCAAGAAGTGATCACTGGCCTTCAGTGCTCTCTGTCCAATACATTGCCAAGACATCGCATCACAAATGCGAGCCAGGGTGTTTGTCTTATTTGGTTGATGCAAACCAGAAAATAAGTTAGGATAAGACAAGAATATCAGGATAGTAATGAGAGAAATGAGAAAGTAAATAAGATAAATATACAACATGAATCAATTACATGCAGAAAAAATATAAACATAATGAACACGAGTAAGAAGGGGACAAGAATCGATGACCTGTGCCAGCAATAGAAGATTAATCGATGTTGGAAGGAATGGGAAATCCCAAAAGCAATGCAAGACAACACAGACATTTAAGGGTTTCACTGGATCCTTCCTTTTCTAAGACATTACAACAGAATAGGTGGAGCCCTGTTGTTGTCAAATTGGCTGATATGCCTGTTTTCGCTGTGCCAGGGATCAAGTGGACCTTGTTGCAACAACGATTGCGGACGCTGCATGGACAGGGGAAATTGGAGACGGGAAGATCTTCGTTCATCCTGTTGCAGATGTAGTCCGAATGTGAGTGTATTTTGCTGATATTTTCATTCCAAAATGTATTTCAATGTGTATTTTGTTTTAGCATAATGCACAGCACGTACAATTCAAGATGCCAGCCTCCTGTCAAAAAAGAACTCATCTCGATTCTACGCTTTAGGCAATGGGCTTGAAGGCTTGGTACTTTACAGTGCTTGGTTGTTGTCAATTGCTCTTGTGTGCTTGCTGCAACCTCACAGGAAATCCCAAGCAAAGGTATACAAAACAGTGGGGCGTTGAGCACATTGTTAGCTCTGTTGATTCCTTGAGCATCCTCGGCAGTCCCTAAGCAATCGTTGTTGTTGTTAATTCTCTGATACCTGATGCATTTCAATACATTTGATTTTTGATTCAGTAAGCTGAGCACCTTTTGAGCTGCAAGGCCCACACAGGTAGTGTAACAGGCACCAGGGCAGCGCCAACAGTGTCTGTCCATGGAAACCAGTATGCGAGGTCTGCTGAAGGTACTTGCTACATGTGTGAAGATTCATGTGTGGATGTATGTATTGCACTGTGTGACATGTGCAGTACAAGTATCCATGTGGTGGGTGTGAATATTTTGTGTGCCTCACAGCCGGACAGGGGAAAGTGGACTGGAGGCCGAGCACATGGAAGGTGGCATGAGTGACATTCATGCATCCAATTCAGAACTGGATGATTGAGAGACCCTGACAACAGACTTTCCTCGCATTCCACGGTCTGTGAAAGCTGCGTGGGGGGACGATGGCCCCCTGTGATCAAATGACGCCCCGTAGATTAGCACAGAGATGAATGATGAATTGTTCATTGGATCGGGCCACGGGGTGTCTGCCAGTGACTGAGGGATTCCGGTTGCTAAGGAGTTGTCAGCACAGCCAGTCAGAGCTTGCTGCTGAGGGATGTTGAGAGAGCGGTATTTATTTTTACTCAGAGAAAGTGATGGTCTAATAGTATGTGGGGAGTGGTGCCATTGTGTATTTGATTGTTCCCATAGTGGTCTTGAGAAAATACTTGAGGGACTGTTCTCCCTGTAGGTCCATGTCTTGAACGAACACACTCAGGGAGCGACTCAGGGAGTTGCAATTTTGCAGATGGCAGGACGAGAACCTGGTTAGAAGGGCTAAAGGGGCTGCCACTGGTATCCTTGGTCTCGACTGCAGCCCGGCGATTTCTGCTGCCATCCAACCTTTCATTCCATGGGGTGGGAAAAATGGAAGATGCGGAAAATGGAGAATGTCCCTACTCTGTTGTGTATGGGGCCCAGGTGGAGGTTAAGATTTTGATTGGATGTGCACTTGTTACTCATTGCATATTCCTCCCCAGGTTAGAATATGTGCTCCATGGTGGAGTGGTGCCCTTGCTATCGAGGAGCCCCCCTATGGCAATGGGAGCAGTGTATAACACCGGTCCACTGGTGGGCACTGTACGTGCACTTGTGAACGACGGGAAAAGGCCAGCTATGGTGGCTCCACAATGATTTGCACCGCCAACCACGAAAAATTCTCACGCCTCAGTGCTGCCAGAATCACATTTGGATGGAGCCATTGGTGGAAGCTACTGATTCCACACCGGCTCGCAGCTTTTCATTATAATGTCTTATCATGTCGTCGATGACGTGTACGTGCAACCAGTACAGCTGTCATTGCGTCACCCGTGGCGTCCTTGCCCACCAGCTCTGGCACAACAACAGTGTCATCCAACAACGGTCATCCTCGACCCGCTCAACAGCGTCAGGTGGCCATTTGCAGCATTCACGCAGAGTGTGTGGGTGCCACGCTCTAATCCGCTCTGGTGGGACCCCGGGGTCCCAGCTGACTGATTCATTGCATTTAATTTCGGTGACTCTATGTAACATAGGCTGTATCCACTTAAGTAGTACATATTTTAGCCGTTTTATAATATGCACATCACTGGCCCAGAATTGGCATTCTTGGAGCTACTGGACAAAACGTGTATGAACAAGGGTGTTCTTGGAGCAGGGTGGCATTGTTTCTCCAGCCTGGCTACGCCAATCCGACGCGGCAGCGCGCGCGGCATCAGTCGCTCTGTCTTCCGCGAAGATCCCTTCTTGTTTCGGCACCTAAAACCCTAAACCACTGGCCCACTGACCCGCGTTGGCTTTGCCAGCGGGAGAAGAAGGGACCTTCACGGAACAGAGGGACTAATATACTCTCACAGGGCCCCAGGGCACGAGTGTGGCACAGGCGCCACATCGGCCAGCGGGCGGCGCGGTCTGTGGGCTGCGGCACTCGCCCATGCAACTTCGCCTGCACTAAGGGGCTCGGGCTCCCCGCGTACCGCGCCGCTGTGGCCCCTTGACCACTTCCTCATACAAAGGGTCTCAGATGCGGCTTCCATACCCCTCACTCCAAAGCTCCCGGCGTGTCCCTTGACTGTACTTTGTGTACGGCGGTGGCACCCTGGGTCCTCACCACCATTCCAAGTGCACAGCACGGTACTCCGCGCGCCGCCGCAACTTCCCCACCCCTCACACCAAGCCCCCCTTCCCCGCCATCCCCACATCAATCACAAATCCCCGCCCCCATTACCAATCCCACTTGGCCCAGTCGGCCCACCAGCCGCGAAAACGCCCCACACCCACCACCAATCCCGATTCCTATCCCCACCCCCCTCACCAACGTAAGGTGCCAACCACGCAAGGCAAGGCGGCCTCCACACCCATTACTAATCCCCATTTGGTTCCCCATTTCGCCCATTTTCTGTCAAATTCTACCCTCCGAATCCATTTCTGACGCCCATTTTGCACATTTCCTCACAAATGCGACCCTTCAAATTCATGACTAAGCCCCGATCTAGACAGCCATTCTCCCCACTGGCACCGCAAACGACCCCCTGCATGCATTACTAATCCCCATTTCGCCCATTACCCACCGAAACGACCATCCAGCCTCCCCCCAGCCTCCCCTGGGCCCCCCGCGGCCCCCCCTCATATACCGGGCGCCGCCCGCCCTCCGCCAAAAATTTGCTCCCGTTTCCCGTCCCCGCCTGCCGCCGGGCTCCACCCGCGCCCCTTGGGCGGAGCTCCGAACAGCGGCCTGGCAAGCCCGCTCCCCATCCCCTTCCCTCTTCTTTTTCCTTTCTTGTTGCGGCTCGCCTGAGCCGCGTCGTGGGCGTCGGCGGTCCGTCACACGCTCTTGCGGTGGCGGAGGATAAGTGTGAGTGTCGTTGCGCAGATTGAATGGGGCCCTGCCGTAGATCGCGCTTGGGCGGGTCACTGTTGGTTTTGGGGAGAGCGGGCGTGTGGAAAAGACCATGCAGAGGACAAAACCGAGGGAGTGGCTGGACAATTGCCGCTGGCCACCTCCGCAGCTTTCGCCTCTCTTTTCGCCGCCGATGGTGGTCGATGTTTTGCCTCTTGCTTCGGCGCCTCCTGTTGATCGTGCTTGGGCGGATCCCTGTTGGCTTTTACAAAGGGCGGGTGTGTTGAAAAGGGCGTTACATTGCGGAGTCAAAGCCGCGGGAGTGGGTCCACAATTTGTGGCCCGCCCTCCCGCGGCCTCGCCATTCGCGGCCACCGGCAGCGGACTGTCTCCTGCCTCTTGCTTGGCCACGTCCTGTTTTGCTGCTCCAGAGAGCGATGTACGGAAATGGCTGAGCGAAGGACAAAGCCGCGGCGGTCGCCGAAAGGATTGGCGCCTCCCATGCCCACAGAATTTTCCCCTCGCGGTCGTCGATGGCGGTCATCGGCCTGTCACCCGGGCTTTCCTATTGATCACGCTTGGGCGGATCCTGTTGGCATTTGCAAGGAGCGGGTGTGCAGAAAGCGCCATGCCGTTGTGGAGGCAAGGCCTTGGGAGTGAAAGGCTGTGTGCCGCTTGCCACTCCCATGGCCCTCGCCGATTGCTGTCGGATTTGCGCTTGTTGCTTGGGCCCCTCCTGTTGATCGCGCCCACCCCACTTCCCCAGGTGTCTAGGCTGTCCAGTGGGCGAGTCGCTGGTAGTGATGCTTGGCGATCTGGGCAGTATCGCGACGAAATGCTCGGATGTGGGATCTATTGAAGTGCCGTGTTGAGGAGCGTCCGCCAAGCGCGTGAGTGCCTCGCGAGCCAGGATCGGCTTGGCTGGAGCTGTCGCCGGGCAAGGAACCCGTCTGGCACCATTGGCATTGTTTTGTGGCGGAAACTTACCTTTGTCGGGTCGATCGGCTGCAGCGTCGGGCGCTGTTTGCGGTCGATCGCGCCGCGATGTCGCGACGTGTGCTGAAACCTCCCAAGTACGCGCAACGAAGCGACACCGTCCCAGCAGAATGAGTTGGGCCCTTTCGACCTCTCTTTGCGGCGCTGGAGGGCCGCCGACGGCGGGAATGAAGTCCATCGTCTGCGTTGTGCACGTGCTGTTGGGCCTGTCGCAACGTTATGCATCTCACACCCGTGTCAGTGCGCCCCAGTCGGTCAGCGGTGGCCCTGTCCAGTTGCTGGACATCCACGTTCCTGTGCGCGTCGCGCACAGAATTGCGCGTAGCGCGTTCTGCACGTGCACTGGGCGCTGTCTTAGCGTTGCCTTGATGCTGGCGATGGGACCACCTACGGCAAGGACAGAGTCGAAAGCTGGCGTTGCGCACGCCTTGATGGGCCTCTGTCAGCGACGCCTTCGCACCCGCATCAATGCTGTGGCGGCACGCCAACGGTCCTCCTGCTCAATCGCTGAACCACGCACCTTGAGCGCAGACTGTGCCATGGTCAGCATTCCCAATTTGTGCCCCTCCATGGTGGAACAAAGACCCTCTGAGTGATTGTTTTTGTTGCTTGTGTGCGGAATGGAATCCTCAGCGTGCTCTTTTTTCCTATGCGCAGATTGGAGTCCTGAGTGGAGAGCTTTCCCACGCCTAGCAATTGTTGGCGACTTTTGGGCAGCAGGATGACGCAGGGCCACAACCAAGAGGGAATGGCTAGTGTCGAGATCGAGGTGTTGAAGGAGCAGGTGCACTCAGCCATCGACCCATTGACCCATTGACCACAGTCAACGGTGTTTGCCTTGCATGGGAAGGCAAAATGGCACCAAGCACCCCACTCAGAGCGTGCCTGCAACCCCCAGCTGAAACGCATAGATTGCAATTTATGATCATCATGTGACGATCTAAAACATTGGATTTTGCAAGCCACGATGGATTCTGCAGCATCCAATGTCTGTAGTGTTCCCCACAATCATAATTTGGCATTCCGCTGGTTGGCAAAATGTGTGGACAGTGGGTGACATCCAAAAGACTTGCCTTACAAAGCTTGGATCGCTCAAGAAGAGTGAAAAATAGGACACAGGTCCCATGAAAGAGCGGCACAGGACTCCCAAGTCTGTTGTGGACCGTGCCTGCAAACATGTGCACAATCTTTCGCAAGAGAGAGCCATGCTGCATGATTCCTACCAAAGAAAAGGTTGCCTGACTCGATTTCTTGTAGAAATCTAACTGAAACTGCATTTTGAATCTCTTCTCGTTTTCAGGTGGATAACTGTTTGCGCGAGGCCTATGTGGCTCTCCACAAGACCCTCCAGGCCAATGTGACCAAGCTTGCGCCAAAGACGATGACTGGTGAGCACTGCCGCGCAGAGTCCACAGTTGAGAGCATCTGCTCTTCCTGTTGGGAATCCTGAGGCCTGCCCACAGCTGTGCACCCTTTGGCATGAAGTACGGGCATCTCCGCTGATGCCAGTGCGCAAAACCTGTTGCAGCCATGTGGACATTGCCAATCTGGTGATTGGTTTGTGTTTCGTCTTGTGGCAAATACGATCGAAAATGGATTTGATGCAGACAGGACTTGCAAGTAACGAGCCCCCCCCCCAAACAAAAGAGGGGTGAAAGAGAAAGGAACTCAGGTACAATACTGAAAGTTTGCAGCCTGTTCTACCTGGTGGCAATGCAAAAGAGACAAATTAGTGAAAATGCTATGAAACCACTACAAAAATACGATGAAATTTATGAAAGTACTATAAAATGAGACACAAAATAGCAAGATTATATCTGATGCCTTGTCAGCAACACTCAAGTAAGGCCCTGCACGGACATACCGAACCTGCAGGCAGCGTGCCTTGGAAACGACGCGTTGCTGATCGTGCAGCTCTGATCTCCGTTCTGTGTCGATTTGCAGTGCCTTTGTCCACGATTGTCAGCTCTCTTCCGACGCCACGCGCCAAGCTGCCAGAGCCACTCTCAGTGAGGCAGGCGCTCGAGGAGCTGGACAACTTCGATATCGACGATGAGGACATGGTGACGTACACCGGGAGGTCTGCTCCAAACAACAGCCGGATGCGGGAGTGCCGCAGGAAGTCTGTCGTTGTCGACCGACTGCCTGCTGGCACAACGGCAGGTAAACTGCTAACACCATCCGGGAAATGGCGGTAAACACAGTACTACAAAGCGCTAAGTCTCGCACAACTTTTTCCTAGCACAGCAGCTGTCCAGTGCCAGATAGTCGTTGTGCTTTGTGGGGGGCATGCCCCAGTGTTGTTGTTTTCTGAGGCACATGGCGTCGATGAAACTCGTGTGTGCACTTGTGCCCATTCTTATAGTGCATGTGGTCATCTTTACAGAAAACTGCACCTGCCAGGTTAGGTTCACATTGTTTCCTGCAGAGCACTGTGCAGATGCTCTGTCCGTGGTTGGTTCATCATCTTTTGGAGGCTTTTCAACCTTCGTGCAGAATTGACTTCTGCACGAGAAATCGCTGTCGTCTTCTGCGCCCCGCATCATCCGGAGAGTCAAATTTGAATTTCTTTTCCACAGAGGACATTCGCGAGATGCTATCAGGCTGTGGGAGAATCGTCTTCGTTGCTCTGTGCCACCCAAGGCTGGCAGCATCCTATGTCAAGGTTTGTGTGCTCCACCAGTTATTTTTGTTGTGTTCATGTAACATCACGTTTTAAGGGTGCAGGTGTGCCCAGCGCCTGTGACGGGCACAGATGTACAAGATACTTTCACTGCTGAAACTCAAGTGAAGCACAACACATTGAGCACTGGTTATGCCCTTTTGTAACATGCACTGATGGTAACTCTTTCTTTTCACATTCACGAAAAATCACATCGCGTCGAACCACCACAGCCACGATCTTTTTTCTCTCCTTTGTACATTAGTCAGGAAACCACATTGCGCATCGAGTTGCTGTGGTCTGTTGACAACAATCTGGCCATAAATATCATGCCAGAATAGGGACACTTGAGTGTAACAAATACGTAACTGCCCTTCAGCTGTTGGTTGCTGTGGGGTCAGTTGGCAGATGGGCTGAGAGTTCTCTGCCATGAGCTTGGGTACAAGGTCTGCTTGGAAATCTGAGTTTGAATTTGCCGCGACAATTTGCAGAATATGGAGGCAATTAATGGTTCACTGCTTTTGTGTCCTTGAGAGCAATCGACAACATCCAATGCACAATGGTTGGGATGCAGAAAACGATGCTGATGGCTGTGTGTGTGGCTATGGCTATAATTGGTGGTTCATCAATTGGTACAAGTAGCATTAACAATGGCATTTTCATTTTGAGTCTGAATTGTGTGCCGCATCTGATTCCCAAGTGTTCAGTATTCTATACTTAAACATTGAATGTTCACAATCGCTGAACATCTCAATTTCATCGACCTGTGGTGTCCACTGCGCAATGAGCATTGATAATCTGTTGCGCCACATCATTGCTGACAGCCACTGACAGTCCAGCTGTGACGATTCTTGAGATGTTTGGCAGTGCTTGGATTCGTGAAGTTGAGGTTTCTTTGGAACAAAAAGGAAGCATGCCTTACAGCAGGGTCCCCCTGTCGTACAAGAAGATTCCGTGCACACTCATTTTTTCCCCGTGTGCTCCCCGTAGGGTGCGGTTCGCAGCCACACTCTGCATGCCATTGTGCAGTTTGCGAGCGTTCAGGAGGCGGTGCGAGCAGTGGAGACGATGAACTTTAGCTGGTGAGCATCCAGTCGTTTTGGCAGAGCACAGCTTTTGCACCTGCAATGCAATGTCAGATACAAGTCCACACACAGAACATTCACTGCCTGACATCGCCAGCGTGGCAAGCGATGGGGGCAACCTAATACACCATCACTTGAGAGTATACAGGGCTTTTTGTGAGGAGTGAACGCTTGAGAGAGGTTTTAAGACAAGACATGAGTTCTTTTGCCACGTTTCAGCAGTGTTTTCAGCATCTTTGAAGCTTATATCTTGTCTTGTGGTGACGAGTATGTAGTCGATGGAGTTGTGCACATAACAACACAATCAGAATGTGGTGATCTGAACAAGCGGACCCAGGCATTTGAGACCTCCGGAATTTTTTGGTTCCTTTTTCCTTCGATTCCTCCCTATCTTCTTTTCAACTCCTTTAAATACCTTTGTCATGGTGATCATTATTGACCTTGCAGAAAGCCGACTGCCCTTGCACCCATGCATATGTTGTTGAAGGATTCGTTGTTGTTGCAATAATCTTATGAATTAATGTATCACGCAGGTACACTTGTAAGTAGTATATCATCTATGTATATCACACTATCATTGTTGAGTAGCCTCTGTGAATGGAGTGGCAAAGGGCTGCAGTTGAGGATCAGCTCAAGAGTGCCTTTGTTCATCAATGGTCGTACTCCAATCCGTGAGTAGCAGCCATGTGGGCCACTGCTGGGCTGTTTTGTGGGAGGAATGGCGGGACCAAAACACTAACTGTGCTTGTTTGTGTATTATATTGCACAAAGTTACACCAGAATGTTTGTGGAATATTCCGATGTATCCTTGTGTATTATTGACTTTGCAATGCAATGCCATCATCTGCCCCAAGTTTCCTCTACATGAGTAAAATGATTGTGAAAAAGCCACAAAGAACCATCGTTATGGCATCCACTTCCCGCAAGGAGGCTCACACACACAGCTCCTTCTCTTACAAAGTATGAACCAATTTCAAGGCTCTTGTGCATCTGCTGCAGGCGAGGTGGCCCACATGTAACACACGCGATGACCGAGTTCAGGGCCCCCTCTCCCATGAAGTCGCCGTACCAGAACACAGGCAAGGAGGCAGCCTTGTCAACGGATGCTTCCTCAACGGATGGCTCATTGTCAAGCGGCGATGAGCTGGCAGATGTGCCCAAGGCACAGGACCATGGCGGCAAGCATGTGGAGAGCATGGTGGCACACAGCAGTGCACCAAAGGCATCAAAGGGCAAGGGCAAGAAAAGCAAGGCCAGGGCCGGTGCGTGTCATGCCATGTGGGAAATATGGGTGCAACAAAGTGGCACTGGACATTGCCAAATTGACAGTTTTGGGCAGAAAGTGTTACGACGAGGTGCTGTAAAGTACTCAGCCTTGTGGCACTTTTTCCAAAGGAACATGTGCGAACAGAATGTTCCCGAAAGAGTCTCCCGGCAAAAAAGTGCTGCCAGCAGCTGCCAAGCTCTGGAAGGGCATTGCTCTTCCTTGTGGAGGACCCATTGTAACAAGGAAGTGGATGTTAAATCCACCGCAGCAACATAAAAAGCGATGTGGTAGCTGTGGCATGTGTCTCGACTGAGTTCAGATAGTCACGCAGTGTTTGCTTGCCCAGCAGTCTGCAAGGACCTCGCAGTGCTTGGCATTGCAACAAGAAAAAGGAATATGTCATGCGATGGGCTTCTCCCTCCTGTGCGAAATGTTGGTGCACTGTGAAAGAATATCCAGAAATGATTCAAGGCCATGTGAGGATGCACATTGCAATGTGGATATCCACTCGATGGCAGTTGTCCTTACTTGACAAAGCACTTGCCACAGCAATATGAATGCAAGAGTTACCCTTCATCGCCTTGTAGTGCAAGGCCACTGTTTTTGTCCTCAAAATCCTCATTTATCTCAAATGGCTTTGCAGCGAAATGCTCTGTGCCTGCGCCATTTAGGCAATGTCAACCACTGGTCATATCCACAAGATTCGTACCCACACTGTTGCGTTTCAATGGAATGCAGTCAACATGGGCCTGGTGCACATGTCTGGCACATGTTCGGCTGCAATGTAAGAATGGAATAGACACATAGGGCTGGTGCACATTTCTGGTGGATATCACGTTGCATTTGTACCAGCCCACAGAGATTGGGCCTTGTGCAGCACGTGGTAACTTTGTTGTCGTGCTGCTCCATGCTCAGAGGTCGATGGCAACAAGTCGCCAAGCCCAAAGAAGTTGGAACAGGTGCCGCCCAAGAGGGACTATGCATCCTGGGCGGCTGCCAACCCCGGCAACAGGGCGCATCCGCCCAGGTTTGTGAACTCAAGGTCAACGCCCAGCGCACCAGGTGGGGCCCCAGTGCAAATCCTCCCTCCAAAAGTGGTTTGAGCAAGTTGGGATGTCAGCAGCAAGGCGGATGGTCCAAACAGAGAGATTCTAAGGATGAGACAAGAGAAACACCCACAGCCCACGAGTGTTATAGTTGTGGGCCAATGGAGTGCACCTCATCTGCACACGCTCCTTCTTCACCTGTGTTACGAAACAAGTTTACAAAAATTGTAAGTTCGTTGTAGTAGTTGTAGTTTACAATAATTGTATTGTATTGTCTTTGTACAAGTTAACGAATTAAAGAAACTGCAGGAAGCTCTCACAGCCATCCTGGGCCCACATCGGTCAACCATCTGCATGCAAGCAATGGCCTCGATGCTGAGAATGGCATTATGCGCAGTCTACAAACATGCGATAACGAACATGCGCCAACGCCACTTCAAGGTCCTCAAGCTGTTTCACGTTGTGCATTGTGATGCATCTTCTGTTTCAGCCCTCTTGTGTGGGAACTCTGTGTAGCATTGTCAGCTGGGATCCATGTTCTCCTGCGCACTATTTTAGGTCATTGTGATATCATTTTGCACTTTGTGTCCCAGCCGTTCACTGGGTTCATTGTGCACGTCTCGAACTGCCGCAGTAGCCAGACCAAATGAAGTCGTTGGCCAACATGGGGTGGTTGGCAGACCCAGTGGGTCAGCTTGCCGACTCTCGATTTAGTATTTTGAGCTCTGGCAAGTCACCTTTTAGTTTGCCTTTGCTAACTGCAGATGTGCCCAGCAGTTCGTGCATCATTCCGCAGTTGCCAATCGATTGCTGTGACGCAAGATTCTCAACTTTCGTGTGCCGCTTTTCCAGGTGCACCACTTGGCGAAGTACCGCGTCTGCGCGTGCCCAGAGGACCGGACGGAACGAGGGGATTCACGATGGGAAGGGGCAGGCTGCTGCTCGTGCCTGCACCCGCATAACGCACTACACACAGCCCGTAGTAGAACTGGAAAAGAGCGCTGCAATCTGCAGCGGGGACTTGAAAAAGAAAGCCAGAGACACACTGCGTGTCGGTTTTGGGAATTCGCGTTGTCAGAAGCTGAGCGATGGGCAGCGTCGGCGCCGCAAGGATGCGGTGGATGGGCGCTTGCCATGTTGGACTTGTCGGATTGTTTTGTCGGTTGGCTGTCGAACAGAGCCAGGTCAAACTTCCTTCGCAGCAGCACTGGGTGGTTGGAAACCTTTGATTCATTTGCATGGCGTGCACACGTGCGGCGCGCCCGGGACGGAAGCACAAGCGTCTGAAGAAGCACGTTCACGGGGCGGCGTGGTGGCACTTGGCCCCCTTTGCTGTTGTGGCTGCGGTTAATGGATGGGTACGTTAGTTAGGGTTCCAGCAGTACTTTGCGCTGATCAGGCCCCTGGCCCGCCATCTTCTGACGAGGGATCTTATGAGCGCGTGCCGCGGTGTGCGAGGCGCCGTGCGCATGTGACCGTACATTGGACCATTGTTCGAAATTGCCCCCACGTGGTTTGGAGTTTCTGAATTGATTGATCTGAGGACCGTGTAATCCGTTTTTGCACGGTGAGCCGCGCCTGCATGTCCAATGCCGAGCGCAGATTGGGTCATCCATGCCACTGTTGGCACTGGGGTGGAACTTCTGCATGGCTTGTCTTCCAACACATGTCGCGGCCTTGCGTGCGTGATCGGTCATTCCTGTGTCGACATGAGGGACCAAATTCCGCGCAGTGTCCCGTCCCGTCTGCCATTTGGCGGACGAATGGATTGACGGTCGCTGCCCACTGACGCACCCTCCATCAGTGGTGCACTAGTTAGTGGTGCGTTGTGCACGTGCAGTTGTGTCTGAACCACGCTGCAGCGAATGCAATCTCTGTGCAAGTCCACAACTCGATTCCCGTCATTACACAATCACTGTCCGAAGCACCCAATCATGACTGGGAACCACCCTCCCTGCCAGACTCTCACCTACATTTGTGGAGCCCCCATGACCGTCACTCACGACAACGCACGCAAGTGTTGTTCTCACTTCCTCCTTGTGTACAATCTATCCACAGCCATCCTCAGCATATCAACCAATTGTACTGCGCGCAACTCCTAACAGCCAGCCTCCATGCAGACATGGACCCTGAGGCTTCCTGATCTCGACGAACCCAAGTCTTTGCTACGTGCAACTTATAGATTCATCAGGCGCTTCCACTCTCATGCAACGGTCTCAATTCGTTCACTTCTCCGCCGTCAATTTGGTCATCCAACATCGCCCTCAATTTCAAATTCGTCAACAAAACAGTAAGACTAGAATTCGCCGATCGTCAATCACCTCACAGCAGTCCTCCCTCCTAGAAATTCGGCACGTTGAAGCTTACTGTTAATCCAGTTGACTAAGCTATGAGACTGTATAAAGCTGGGTAACGGCAGCTCCATTAACGCCTTCCGTCCCAAATTCACCGATCTTCGATCAACCTCGATTAATTCACCGTCCCCCATCGAGCATCCTCAAATCCCCCCTCTTCTATCACTGCGCAGCCTCCATTTGTTCATAGTTCCCCATCAGACAGCCCCCAGGGACCACCCTTTCAGGACAAAGCGGTCTATACAAGCAATTACTGTCAGGCGCTAAGCCTTATTCCACTCTTTCCAAAAAGAGGGGACAAAATGGCCGGCGGTACCAACGGCAGTACATTGGTACCACTATTCGCTTGTACCAACTTGGTACAAGCAAATAGCGTCAAGTACTAATCCTTCTGTCGCTCTTCCCCCAAGGACAGCGACCAGGGCCTTCGCTGCCCCGTGAAGATCTTCAGCTGCACGGACGACCTCAAGTCGCTGTCGTACAACGGGTTGCTCCCCATGGGAGATCCGCCAGCGTTCGTGCCGGCCGAGAACAGCGGGTTATTCAATGCGCTGCCGCTCTTGCTGGGACCCGCGAACCAGCTGACTCTGGTGGCGAAGAAGTTGAGCAAGGTGACGGACTTGAGGGCGGAATCCAGGCGCGAGTCGAATGCTCCTGTGTCGCTCCTGCTGGCTCTTGGCTTGGTGGAACACACGGGCGGCGTGGCAAGGAGGTAGGACCGTACCTGCGGTACACGGGCCTCGCACTGATCTGGGATTGCCATGACACACGGACTGAATGGATGTCCTGAACGCAAGGGCACATCGCTGCTCGGGATCTGTCTGTAACTGCGTCGCCTCAGGCTCGTTCCCAGACCGCCTCCACTGGAACCGCTTCTCCGTGGCGAGCCAGCCAGCGGCATATCAGCGCGTTCCTTGGGGATCGTCTTTTGGGCAATTCTCTTAAATTGGCGAAATGCCGGTCGTGTATTTTAAATTAATTCCATAAAATTTATGCCATAAATACACCAGTAAATTTAGTTTGTTCTGTGGATTTATGGAATTCGACGGTTGACTGGTGATGGGTTGGTTTGGTGAGAATGGTGCACTGTTGTGCGGACTGCGTTGAGAGTGACTCGAATTGGAAAAGAACTGAATGAAAGAAAGGGCCAGGCTGGCTCACGTCGCATTTAAGATTTAAGATTTTAAGATTTATTTAAGCAAATTTTTGGCCGGTGATGTGGCGAGACTTATGCTCGATGTCCACATGCAGGTGCCAGCGGCTCCTTGTTCTGTTTTCTTTGCTTCATCTTTTGTCCTTTCTGTTTATTTCTTCTGCCCTTCGTTTAGTCCTCTCCTTTTTTTGTTTGGTTTTGTTCTCATATTTCTGATTTTCTTTTTTTTTGGTGTCATGTTCCACAGATGCACAGCCAAAATTTCCCACACAGTCTCACCTGCGCCTTGAGGGCGGCGCGCCGGCAGGGGCCCATCCTGTTGGACAGGGACCGCCGCACGCGCCGTTGACCATCCGTTGACTTTCTTCCGCCGGTCAAAACCTGCGACAGCAGTCCATTGTCCGAGAAGCTGAGCGGAAGCCGAACCTGATTTGCTGATTTGGTTCCGCTGTTCAAGAAGCTGAGTGGAAGCTGATCCCGAATGCATGAATCGGTGCCATCGTTCAACAGGCGGAGCGGAGTCCTCCCGGTGGCGCCGCGCCGCTCTGCTGGATGGAGTGCACCTGGAACGGTCGACTGCGATGGGTTTACGAAGCCCATCTTTACCAAATTCGGAGTTTCTTTGGGGCTGCTGCTGGTTGGCGGGGCAGAGAGCGACGCCTTTTCGCTATCGATCGTTGGCGACGGGGTGTTGACACTCTCGGCAGCGGCCGGGCTCCGATCCTCGCGCAGCAGTGGGCGAGAACGCCGAGCATCGGATGCCTCCTTCGCGGAAGAGCTTTTGGGGCGACTTGGTTGCGGAAGCACGGCGTTAATTACCGTGTCTTGTGGCGGAAATGCACCATCAGTTGCTGGGCGTTGCTCCTGCTCCCGCTCCAAACGCAAGGGCGCCTCGCCAAGGCGGGGCGAGCCCGGGTCGCCGCCCTGGGCGCCGTCCAGCCATCGGCGCACCCGCCCATGCCTCCATGCATTGCCGCCCCGCGTTCCCCCGATGCTCGCAGCAGATGGCGCCGGGGATGCCGCCCCCTCGGAGCTGCGCGTCGCGGGCGCCACTGCGCCATCGCTTCGGCTCTCGCTCCAGCCGCCTGCCTTTGCCGCTTCTCCGATTATGCTTTCCCTCACGCAACCACTGACCGCCTTCATCGCCTCGACTGTGCTGACTATGCTGGCTTCGCCGACTGCCTCCCTTCCGCGGCCCGTGTCCGGGGCTCTACGCCTTGAAGCCGGACTGCGCGACCGTGGAGGGGCGGCTTCCGGCGTCCGAGACCCCTCCGCCCTGTCGTCCCTTGCTCCCGTGCCCGGCATGTGAACGGGAGCATCATAGGCAGCGAGGGTCTGCAAGGCAAAGGCATGGGACTTGTCCCTCTGTCCTTGCGATTGTCCATTCTTGTTTCGATGATTTCGATGATTAGTTGACTATTCGTTAGATTCAATTACCAGCGGACTATTAAGTGATTTCTATGATTATTTCGATGATTAACTGATGGACATTTGCCCAGCAACTGAGAGCAACCTTCCGCTTTGGCGGCGCCGGGGTTTGACCCGTTCAACCGTCTCCAGCACATCTGACTGAACGCGCCCCCAATGTATTACCATCGATTATCGCTTCTAGGCATCGAGAGTTCATAGAATCGTAGATTTAGTTTGCATTTCTCGTTAGATTTCAATGAACCGATCACCGACTCTGCTTTGCTCAGGCAAAATAGGAAGCTGGCGGCTACCTCCTTGTTCTGTAAAAAATGATGACGATGATGATAATAATAATAATAATTATTATTATTATTAATATTATTATTATTATTATTATTATCGGGTCAACCGGTCTCGCACACGCTCGCACGGTCGCTCCCAGGCACGGGAAGCAAAACCGTAACCGGATGCATTACAGGATGAGTGTATCGACTAAATATCAATCACTGCAATAATGTTCACTTTCCCATCTCCATTGTCCCCGTGTACATTCACCATAACACCATGTCCACCATATTTACTTCCCACCATCAAAACACACCATGTATCATATATTATACATTAACCGTTCGCTTGCTCTCACACGCTTCCCTGCGCCAAATATACACCCACCGGAAACTCATCCCTTTTCAAATGGCATCCCGATACGGCCGTAACATATCCGTGTGCCTAACCCATACCTTTCCTTCTGGCCCCTGTACTTCCCAAACCGCATTCGTTATGGGGCGAATCAACACCCCTGGACCCTTCCACCATGGCTCGAGCTTGTCCTAGAGTGTTTCGACTTTTGTATTCCATAACCACACCCAATCCCCCGCTCTAAACGTCCGTTGGATACGCCTTCCCCTGGTCCTGTGGTTTGCCTTCGCGCGCTGTTGACGTGTGTACTCATGTAGCCTGCCCCACACGGCCCTTGAACTATTCCACAATTGGTTTGGCGATCCAAATGCGAAAGAGGTGCGAGTCTTCTTGTTCTCTTCTGGCG